AGGAGCTGCACCACCGTCTCAGCTTTTCTCCAGCAACAAGGTTGTTTTTTCAAAAGCGATGCTAAACTCCAGCTCGGAAAACTACTTCGAATACTTTCAAAAGTGGAACCGGGTAAAAATTAGTCTTTTAGCGTAAGAGTCAACAGCCGCTCCGCACCTCTGCTTGCAAGAGGCTTTTAACAGAAACAAGACTGCTGCACGCTGAAGACACAACAGCATTACATGGGAAGCAAATGCCCAGCTACCTGTTGGTCCAAAACGCCTGCAGCTGGTTAAATCCAGCACGACCTTGTGCAGACCAACGTGGTCCAAGGCCGCAACAGGAAGAGATGAAAGAATTTAAGGAAGTTGACTGTTAACGGATAAATGAGCTTATGGATACTTTGCTCAGTAAAAACTAGCCGTCATTGATCATGTCTCAACTTATCCCACGTTGCTGCAATTCAGGTCTCAAATGTTTCAAATTACTTGCTCTGAGGGAAGGGAGTGACCCATTTGCCAGCTAAAACATCTTCATGCAAAACTCCACGTTCAACACCGGATTATACAATAAACTGGTGAAGCCACTGCCTGGAAAAGCCTTCTGTTGTTTGTTTCTGCTTCGGGGAGAGGGGGGCGGTGGGGAGTGCTTTCCCTCTCCTCACCAAAGAAACCAAGAGTCACTCCGAGAAATGACAACGCCAAAGCAATTCCAAGGTCGTCCCTTGTTTAAGGAATGGCTGACCAGCGCAGCCTCTCAGGTCTGGCATTTCTTTTGGGTTACAGAAGATGGAGAAAACTTAAAAAGAGTTTCTCTCAAAGCAAGATGACTACCAAAGACGTAAGTCGAACCAGCAGTTGTGACAGTCAGTATGGGGAGGGGCACTGACGTTCCCAGCTCAAAGCCTTCAACCCAAAAATGCCAAAATGAACACGTTCCTCCCGGTGAGACGGACTGACACGAGAGCTGAAGGAAGGGTTGAAGGAAACAGAATCTACAGGAAAATGCAAAACCTGGTATACACAAACTACTCTGAGGGCTGTGACGCTACCCAGGAGGAGGGGGCTCTCTGCCATCAAGCCGGATCGTCAGCCAGTGACCTGCTGCAAAGCTGCTGTTGGGCACAGCGACGCCGAGGAACAGAGCGTGCCTGGTCTCACCCGGCGCCAACACAAAGGAAAGTCACCCAGTTCGGGTGAACGCACCTCCGCCTCCCTGACCAAGCCGTTTCTAAAGGGATTCACATCCCTACAGCCACATCGCAGCTCTGACAGGCAGAACAGAAAGTGGGTACCAGGTTTTAAGCACAGATTTACTCCTTACTAATACCCCTCTTCATCATTACATGCGTGCACTAACTGTCCGTAAGCTGACGCCATCCCTGCCTTGAGAAGTGATTCGCAACAGAAGTGGTAGAATCACAGAATGGTTTGGGTTGGAAGGGACCTTAAAGATCATCTGGTTCCAACCCCCCTGCCATCAGCAGGGACATCTTCCACCAGACCAGGTTGCTCAGAGCTCCATCCAGCCTGGCCTTGAGCACTGC